AATGTTTGCTCTTTCTTTTTCTCTTAATTGAAAGAGCAAGGCTTGCCTTTAGGCTACTGCAGAAATCATCCACTCTTGTGGATGACTGAGTGAACAGAAAGACAGACAGGGAGTCAAGCCCTCCTGCCTCCAACTCGCTGTCTGCTCCACGTTGAGGTGCTCGAATCCCGGAATCATTAGGCAAGTGATGTATGAGTTAACACAACACGCTGGCATGAGCAGCATGTGCAAATGTCCATAGGAGGCTCACATTCAGAGGGCTATATGTCAGCCTGCAGCCAATTTCTGTTTGGCAGGGGCTCAGGACGGATTGTGATTTAAGTGAAGAAACACCAAGGCAGATGTCTCAGTCTCTTGTTCCTCCAGCTCTCTGCCATGACTCTCCACACGTGCCTCCAGCTGGAAGAGGAGCAGGGAATAGAAGAACCAGGGATTGGCACCAAACTTTCCCTCTCTGTCCCTAGCCTCCATTGTCAAAGATCACGGGGACATCTTATCTACCTGCCTACCGACTTGTATGTCCCGTGGATGTTTACATACCAGCCTTGGGTTGCATGTGAACAGCAAAATTACTCCAATACTTCTGAAAGAGTCAGGGCTCAGTAACCCCCTGTATGTTGTACTCCCAGCCTACGCTAGATACTTCCCTCACTGCTTTTCTGTGGTGATTCACCTTGCCTAGACTAACCCTCTGCACCCCCTCACTTTTTAATCAACCTTTAATCTATACCTCATGCTCTTTAATCTGTCTCATTTCCTTATCTATTTCTTTTTCCTGCAGTCTTCTGTCTCCCAAACCATCTTCTTTATGCCTTTTTATTTCTTATTTTGTCTTGCTAGTTCTTCCCCGGTTCTCCATTCTCCTTCCTTCTCTTTTCTTCCTTCTTGGTCCTTGCATCCCCCTGTACATGTAAGCTCATATTGCCTGAAAATTATCTCAGGACCTTCTGTTCTTAAACCAGAGGGAAAAAAAATAGTCTGTAGGTGAATTTACCATTTTAATGTAGTTAAAAATCCTCCCCTCCATCACCCGTTCTGAAATTGCAGACTGCTGAGATTAGTGGCATAAAATCCCACCAGGATATTGACATAACCTATAAGCCGGGAAGTTGTTTTAATCAAACCCAGCATCCCACTTGGAATGCCGGACTTAGAAATACAAGGACAGCAGTTTCGAGAGTAGCTGAGAAATAAGGAAATAAGTGTTTGGGGAGAGGGGGTTTGAAAATCATTTTTTTTATTAATTTGAAATCTTGTGGTCAGAAGTTGCAGGGTATTTTTTTTTCCATTGAGTCCTTGCCTACACAGAGTGCTCGGATGGAGTATTGGTATTGGAGAGGTGATAAAAAGGAATTCGATTGGGTGGCTGGATTATTAAGAGGGGCTGTTATCCAGTAAAAGTGTCAGAGACCTCAGCCCACGGGGCATGGATGATTACTGTGGATGAATTCCTGGTCCTTGGAGGCCAGGTGGGAGGGCACGGTTGTCGTGTTTCCCCCACACACACGCACTCCCTGAAAAATTTAGAGCAGCCTTGGATGAGGCATTCATAAAAGTGTCTGTTTGGGAAGCAGTGAACCAAAGAAAGAGCAGAAGGTAGCCAAAACTATTTGTCAGTCTTGATGTCATGAACCCCACCTCTCCCCATGTCCCTCCCGTTGGTTTCTAAAGAGGCAGTCTTTGTCTGCAGCCTGTGTGACCGGCATCCCCAGATCAGGACAAGGTATCCACAAGCCATTGCAGATGCCTCCAGTGGCAAATCTGATAGAGGAGAAGGCGTAGAAGGAAAGGAGAGGTGATGGAAATCTGTGTCCTGTGGTTGGCACCTCTCCCCCATGCTCCCAGCTGGTGCCCACCAGCTCTCACCACACTTCTCCTAATGCCCAGACCTGTTACTAGTTCAGCTCTGCGAGGTGTGCATCCTCTCCGACCCACATCCACAGCCCAGAACGAGACCAGCACTTACCAGGGTTAAAAATGAATAAGCACAGAATGTCCCCTTTCTCTAAACTCGCGCCCTGATGATACAGCCCCCTCGGGGAAGGCTTTTTGGCGCACAGACAGCTGGTTTGCGGCTTTCCCTGAAGAAGAGCGTGGGGGAGGAAGGTCCAGCCCAGCACCTAGCCCTTCAAATGAAGTGACTTGTCAAGTATGCAACTGTGGCTGCGATCTGAGAAGCAGTAAATTTAGCAGCACTCACTTCCACTGACAGCCTGTCATGTGCTTGAAACATAAATAGTGGTGGAGACAAATCACTGCTGTTTTCCTATTAAGCTTTGGCCCACTAGCCTCCTAGCTTGCCAGCAGCATTTCTACCTGGTCTGCCGCCGTGCCTCGTCTCAGGGACAGATGTGCCTCCCCGCTGCAGGCTTTGGGAGAGTCGGGATGGGAATTATCATGCTGTTATTTCCTCAGGTGTCCTTGGTGTCAGGGTACTTGCTCATCAGCTGATGGATTTTTCCCTCGGGCCGTGCGCTGGCGGTCCCTCCTCCCGGCACCCAAGGTTGAGGGGACACGGACCCTCTCCCTAAAGTTCTCACCGATCTCACCCCTGCCCCTGGTTTCTTCCATGTCGCCTTGCAAGGTCGTGCTGATGGAGTAAATGAGGCACTGATTTGAATAAGAGAGTAGAGGTGACATTTTCCAGTGCACCTGAGTGACTTGCAAGCACAAATGCCATCGAAAGCCACTGGGTCTTGTCCTGTTAAAGCATTTAGAAGCTTTTGCAAGCCCTGCTCTCAAGCATTAATTATTATATAACCATTTAATAAAACATGCCGTCAGAAGCTTACATTAATCTTTACAGAGATGAGAGACATCCCTCAGTGCTCTAAATTGGGGAACTCGGAGCAAACGGACTCAGCACATTTCCCCGTCTTCCCTCTCTCTTCCCAGGTGTGATTCCTCTTCCCCTCTCTCCTCGAGGAAGATGAAATCATGCCAGTGATTAAGGTGGCCTGCTCCGTGTTGCTTTAATTAGAACAACTGCTGCTTTAGTTATGGTAAAGCTCTCACCGGTGCGCAGTTGCAAAGGCACGCTAATGAAACCCCCCGCCTCTTCGGGAAATTCGCAGAAAGGAGCCAGGGAGTGCTCCAGATAAAATGAATGGCTTTTCCTAACCCCTTGGGTCAGTGCCCTCGGGCTGCCTCTGGTTCCTGTAGGCTGCACTCCCTGCCAGGGGCTCGTGGCAGAGCAAGGGGCTGGGCTCCCAGAGGAGAGAAATGTGTTTGGGGACAGAGGAAGGACAGGGGAAGGGAGAGGGAAGTGGATTCCTGTCCATAATGGATGCAGAGAGGTAAAACCCGGTGAGACACTTTTTATCAGCATGGTTTGCCATGATGTTCACATGCCAGCAGTGAATAAAGCTTTGAAGTTCCCTGTAAGCATCAGGAAATTGAGACAAAAGCAATGAAATAGCTCTTTGGTTTATCCTCTGACCCCATCATAGACGTACATGGGAACATGGAAGAAGTCAGAAATTAGTTGGTTTGAAACCAGTTCTTCTGTTCGTCATCTTGGGCTTTCTCCTTTTCTGATGAACACCCTCCTTTCCCCATTTTCCCGAAGGAAGCCGTGACTCGCAGTAGTGCTGATGCCCAGCAGCTGCCCTGCCAACTGCAAGATCTGTGTCTGGGAGCTGAAAGAGCTGAAAAGCAGGGTCTGTGTTAGCTCGCTGCTTGCCTCCCTGTCCGATTATACAAGCTGCAAGATCAGTCACTGGGCAAATGCTGCTTTCCTCCTTTGCAGTCAGTGCCCTGCAAGTTTGAGAGAGAGCCTCCTTATTCTTTGGAAGGCAAGGGAGTGTCTAACAGCGTAGGAATTACATACCCTGCACTGAAGCAGTCATTTGTCTGGACCAGTATCACTATGAATCAACAGCAGATCCCTCAGCTGACAGCATCACGGGAGCCAGCCCAGCCGATCAGAAGTCCCTGCAGCACGTGAGCCCAGACAGTTTTCCTCCCAGCCCACCCCACTCTGCCCAAAACATCCGTGAGCCTTGCCTCGATACCCGGCAGTGTCAGGCAGTCTCTGTGCTGGATCTAATTGAGAAACATTGCAGCAGGGAGAGTGGTCAACAGGAAAGCAAACAAAACGATTTTTCAAGGAGCTAATCCACCTATACAAATATTGGCGCCAGCCATCACAACACACTGACATGTTTTTGAAAGGGTAAATCTTGCTGAGGGGTGGCTTAACTCTTTGACCCCATTTCCTCAGTTGAAAACTAGAGCTGTGTAAAAGATCAGTGGCAAGATCCAAGCTGATACGGAAATCCCTGGTCTTTAGGGTTTAGTTGTGAACTCGGTGCTCAGAGTAGCATCACTGGAAACAGGGATGAGCTACGGGAGTTGCCATCTCACAGGATTCAAGGGTGCGTGATCCGGCCATGAAATGTTTGTCTCTGGCTTGCAGAGAAAGGGCCACAGCAACATGTCAGCTTCTAAGGTAATGCTGCTTCCTATTTCAAGTAAATTTGGGACAGTCTGTCATGTTTTAGGCCTTTTTCAGAGTTTGAGACATAAAAGGATGGAATTCTGTGGGCTAAATTGAATCTTTGTGTTGTTTTATGTATATATATACATATTTATAATTTTTATGTTAGGTTGAAGTTCTGGGTTCATTCTTACCCCTGTTGCCGACGGAAGGAAGACCCAGCACATCAATATGAGTGAACAGTGAACTTCAACTTTAATGGATAGCTCAGTCGTCTTTTATCTAGTTCGAACATAATCAACTCATACATATTGCAGAAACTAAGCTCAGGATTGGTTAACACTTCCCGGGCTTTTCAGTCTGGTCCTCCTTCTTTTGGCTACTTGTCCCACCTTAGGGACTTTCCCCGATGGCCCAAGGGCATCGTGTCCTTGAGCCTGATTGGCTCTCAGCCAGCGGTGTACGTGCCAAGGCTCATGTGAGTTGAGTACGGTGCTTCACCAGCCCATTGTCTCCCAACTGCTCAACATTCACATGTCCCGCCTCACTTAACGATTCCTCCACAATTCCCCCGTTTTTATTTTGCAGCAACTATAATCAATATAACTATAAGTAGAAAACGAAGTTCCTCTTTGACGAAGAAAAAACCATCCACCCATGTTCCCAAAAACAGATTTAAACCAACCTTCAAACCAACTATCTTGTACTACAATTTTTTGCGTATGATCCCTTAACCATTTCAAACATAATCAACTCATCAACAAAAGGATCAGACGCAGAAGCGAGGAATAGGCAAAATGAACTTTGTCTGGTTTAATTTGCCCAAGTGACCCACATATTGGTTTGAGGATCGATTTTGCTTAGGATGGCACTATTACGTCCAACCGTCATTGTCAAGGGTAATGCAACCAGAATCCCTTGTGCCGTTAGATCAGCCATGGTTGCTGTTATTCGTACTTGATGACTTTTCTTCAATGGCTGGTTTAACACACCGACTAGGCACCCAGGTTGGCCCTGTAGGGGAAGAGATACACACATAACCTAGCCCCATATAAATCACGTCAGCAGGCCCCAGCCATTGTCCCGTTTTCGTATCTCGGTATAGTACTCTCATAATACATTTATTATCATTTTCAGACTTAATGTAATGATGTGTTGCGGGTGGTTCCTCATCATCTCCATGCTATGAACCCCTAAACCCTGCTTAGCAGCGTCATTGTAATCACAGGTGTTCTTTGTACTTTTGTACAGGTATGGCCTTTTCCAGGTTCCTGTAGCAGGAATCATCTGATATCCACGGCTACGTTCACATTTGTAGCCACCTTTCAGGTTGATACATATTTGACTACAGATACCAGGGTTTTGACATTTATCAAAATCTCCACAGTTTCTCTTGTCTACAAACTCAAACCCAGCTGGACAGTCACATTCATTTATGTTGCATTCCTTCAGGGGCTCATCACCCCAGTCCTTGCAGTCTCTCTGCTGGTTACACACTTTATTGATATCTATGCATTCTCCACTTCTGCACTTGAATTTGCCAGGTCCAGAGCACTGAATAACATTGTTACAGTTTGCTTCATCAGTGCCATCCAGACAGTCTCTCACACCACTGCACTGCCTACTCCTATAAACACAGTTCCCATCTTCACATCTGAACTGGTCTGGCCTGCAAGTCTGAGAAGGGCAGTTAATTTCATCACTTCCATCCTTGCAATCAGGATCTCTGTCATAGTCTTTTTCACCTGAGCCGCACTGCACCTCACTCACGTAACACTTCACCAGAGGTGCAGGCTGGCGGCCACACTGCTCCAAAGATACATCCGAGTGGTCGGAGCAGTCACCTTGACCATTGCAGACAAAGCTTTTGGAAATACATTGCCCACTACTGCATGTAAATTCTGCTGCACTACAAGTCACAATGCCACAATTCTCTTCATCTTCTGCACTGTCACAGTCCTTTTCACCATCACATTTCCAGGACACTGGTGCCTGCCGCCCCGCACCTGTGTCACTTATACTACTGCTATTACCCGTGCTGTCAGTGTCAGTGGCATCCTCCTGGTACCGTTTCTGTCTTTGCCGCCCCTTACTCTCCCCCTTTTCTTTTTGCCACTGACCATTCACCACAAATGGATGAGACACATGATTACTAGTTAGGAAAGAGCATGTAACATCTGCTATACAGCTGCAGGCGATCTGCTGGTTTTGGTAATACTCTAGCTGCCTCTCTGCCAGGTCCATGCGCTGCAGCAGGTTCTCAATGAAGTGCTGGAGCCTGGCTTTTCCCTGCAATTCTTTTTCTGTCTCCTCCTCGAACTTGCTGAGGCGCTGCTTTAAGGCCGCGATCATCTCCACTGCCATGTCCACCTGCCTGCTGAGCACCTGCTCCCTCCGCTGCACCTCCTGCTGCTTCTGCGAGAGCTGCACAAAGGCCTCCCGCACCTCCAGCAGCTCCGCCGTCTTCTGGGCCAGCTCCCCGGTCAGCCTGTCGAGCCGCTTCTCCTTCGTCTTGTCCACGGCCTCCACCATCCTGCTGAACTTCGCCCTGACACGCGCGCCGCAGTCGAACTGTCCGCGCTCCCCGCGGCGCGGGCGGCGGAACGGCAGCACCGGGCCGCCCACGGGCAGCGGCTCCGGCCACGGGAAGCCGCCCCGCTCCGCGCCGTCCTGCTGCATCCTCCGCCTCGGCAGGGCGGGCTTGGGAAACTTCGGGCACAGGGACCGAGACCGGCCCTGTGGCCGCCCACGGCCGTGCTGCCCCGGCCGGTGCCGGGGTCGGGGCCGGGAGTGGAGCGGCCACGGGAGGCGTTTGCGACTCTTGCCGCTGTTCCGGCCGTTTCCCGGCATGTTGCGTCGACATGCCGCTTCCTTGTGATTGTTCGACTGACAATTTGAGCACCATACTGCCCCAGCTTTGCAGTGTCGTCTCACGTGTCCAAAAGCACCACAACGATAACATCGGCAGCGGTGTGGTAATTGGTTACTAGGGGGTGGTACTGGACCACCGGCGGTTTGCAAAGGAGCAAGAGCTGCAAGGACCTGACTCTGTGTAGACTGAACATGCTCTTTCACAGCCTGTGCCTGTTCTCGCATGCTGTCACCTAATTGTTTTACTGCCTCTACTAACATAGCCTGTGGGCCTACTGGTACCTGAGCCATTCTTTCCAACCCTTCCTCGATTGTCCAAGTTCCCGGTAACGTAGCTAATATACTACGAGTTGAAGGGTTGCAGTTTTGAATTGCACACTGCTTTAGAATAGTGCCCTTTAGATAATCAGGTACCCCAGCCGCTTGTATTGCGTTTGCTATTCGATCAATAAACAACCCAAATGGTTCCTCCCTTCCTTGCTTGATGCCCATATAGGATGGTATCCCCCCTGGCTCTCTAATTTGGTCCAAGGCTCTTCGAGCCAATCTCATTGATTCTTTAGCTTTGTCTGGACCCAGCAACGCTTGTGTCTCTAATCTATAATATGGTCCGAGTCCCATCAATTCCTCCAACGTGACACCATACAACGGATCTCCAGGTGCCCTTATCACAGCTACTGCCTCTTGACAAACACTTTGCCAATGCGCATTAAAAAGAAGCTGTTGATGTTGTGTTAGGATCAGCTTCATTATACCACGTATGTCCCCGGGGAGCAATATATTTGTTCCCCAAATATAATCTAACATTTGCCGAGTAGGTTCCCCCTTTAAACCAGAATCATTTACGGTAGATCGCAATTGAGTTAATAGTTTCCAATCTAAATTTGTCATATTAACGGTCACATTACCCTGTGCATCTGTTGGCGAGTATACTACCGGAAAAGCTTGTGTTAACTGTGCTGCCGTTTCATAATTCCCTTCACGCAGTGCTTCATTTGCTATTTGCCTCCATAGACCTGCTCTTCCCTGCACCCCCGTTGTGAAGGGATTTATATTTGATGGAAATGAGTTAGCACTGGTCCTTTCACTTGCTCCTTTCTCACTTTCTATTGGAGCAGTTGGAGCTGTTGGTAGTGAGAGCTCCTCCTCCGCTACAGAGGACATTGTCACAGGCATCCCCGAAATTCCCGAGGCCCCCTGTGCAATAGTAGAAGTTCTAACGGAAGGTGGCAACGGGCAATCTGTTCCTTCCATATTTATTTGCTGTGGATTAACATTATTAACCCTTCTTGGTGGTCCTGACCACTCTGTTGCAGCAGCGGCAACTCTTTGTTCATCTTTATGTGTGGCTAATGCATTAGCCACTACTCTCCATGGCCTCATCAAATCTCCCAGTAAACTTAACATCGTTCCTAACATCATCAAACAATTTATTTCCAAATTTACGTCACTCTGTTTGTTCAAAAACTGTATCAGGACTTGTAAAACAACCTTTAGTTATCCCATATACTAATAACCCTGGCAAATCTTTTTCTACAATCTGTATCTAAAATGCTCCGCTTTTCTAAAAAGCATTTGAGCAAATAATACGCCGCTTATCTTTTCATACCTTTATATACGTCGATTGCAGCCTTTGCAAAGACCTCGGCGGCGCTTTTCCGGCGGGACCCTAAATAGGCTCATCCCGGGTGCGGGGACTCCCTTTCACCTTCCGAGCTGCAGATCTCGGCGACGCGCGACCGGCAGGATCCTCTCCCGGGTGCGGGGGACTCCACGTCCTTTTCACCTTCCCGGCGCGGGTGCGGGGATTCTTGTCCCTTCCACCTCCTGGGCTGCGTTGCAGGACCGGCTTCTCCTTTATTCCGTCCAACCGTGGCCCTGGATCACTGCCAGCAGTGTCCAAATCCTGTTCAGACTTGTCCCTGTTCGGGCGCCAATTTGTTGCCGACGGAAGGAAGACCCAGCACATCAATATGAGTGAACAGTGAACTTCAACTTTAATGGATAGCTCAGTCGTCTTTTATCTAGTTCGAACATAATCAACTCATACATATTGCAGAAACTAAGCTCAGGATTGGTTAACACTTCCCGGGCTTTTCAGTCTGGTCCTCCTTCTTTTGGCTACTTGTCCCACCTTAGGGACTTTCCCCGATGGCCCAAGGGCATCGTGTCCTTGAGCCTGATTGGCTCTCAGCCAGCGGTGTACGTGCCAAGGCTCATGTGAGTTGAGTACGGTGCTTCACCAGCCCATTGTCTCCCAACTGCTCAACATTCACATGTCCCGCCTCACTTAACGATTCCTCCACATACCCCCTCATCCCAAGAAGCATGAATGGATATGACCCAAGGGAACAAACCCATTATGATTACAAACATGGGAACGTTTCCACAGATGCCTCCAAAAGCGCTCCAATTGATTCTTGCACAATGGTGCATTGAGCATGTCTTGCTCTGCGGGAGACACACGACTCTTGTAAGGAGCAGAACAAGGACATTTAAAGATGCCACCAAGCACAGACCACCCCTATAGTTCTTACACGGGCCGACTGGCACAGCCAGTACCACTGCGCATCATCACACGAGCTTTCCCCAAGGTCTGGGACTGACATACGGATTTGTGGAATTAAACTCGGGACATTGCAGTCCATCCCAGCTCTCTGCTGGCAGGACAGATCTGTTCTTTGGCCTTGGGAAGAACTGGTTTTCAAGCTACATGATGATGACAGCATGAGAGCGTTCTCCAAGATAGGAGAACTCGCAGGGAAAGGAGCACATGAGGCTAACTGAGAGTAAACCAGGTGACAGAGGATCTCAGTGATTCCTCTGGCTGATGATGATGTCTACCCCATGTTGTTGTAAAGTAACCTCCAGAAAGCAGCAGGCAGGAATTTGGGGATGCAGAAGCAGTGCAGCTATTGTTTTGTTCGTGTTTGTGTGTCATTTTCTTGGCAGTGGAGTTAGGTCTTGATGTTTGGTAGCACCGCCATTACATAACTCACATGGCAGCGTGCGACATTTAGGGAGCATAATATTGTAGCTGTGACATTAGATGACTTAATTTACCTCATGGCTGATAATTTACTTTACACATTGGCATCACAGCCAAGTTTTGTGCAAGAGCAATTCAGCCATCAAAAAAATGCTGTTTTGTGTTCATTTAAAAGAGCGTTAGCAAATTTGGGTCCAATTCGGTAAGTAATTTTGAAAAGAAAAAAAGAGATGGATATTAAAAACATGTATCATTATCTATGACATGAAGTCATAAAGTCATCTTGTCTTTAGACAAGAGGGAGTGGGAATTTGGAGACAGAGGCTGCTTTCACCCGGAGGAGTTTTACTCATGCTAGATTTGCAGGGTTTGGGGGAACGTCCCCACGAGGCTTGCAGGATTTCTGAGCTCCTGGGGCACAGCCCGTGCCTGGAGAGGGAAGGCAGTCAGCTCTGCACGTAAGGAGAAAATGGGATCACTGCTGAGTAAGGTCCCACGAACGCCAGGGAAAACCATGCCAGGGTGTTTCCTCCTGATCTGACTCATTCGCATTCATGGAGCCAGCGCCGGGCCAGAGCCCTCGCTGGCACTGCACTCGTTTTTTGGTTTATGTGCAATAGCTACAGACCTAAGGGCATGGGAGGCATGAGGCCAGCTTACACAATAAATACCCTGTTGTGCCTTGCTGCCTAAACAGAGTGATTATTGCTTTGCTACATCTGACCCCCCTGCCCGCGTCCCTCTGGCTGCGGTTATTTCACGGCTCCCGTTGCACAAGGGAGGCCGGTGCCTCTCTCCATCCTGCACATCTCCCTGTTTGCCACCGTCTCTCCCCCACCTTCTGCTCTCACTCTGGCTCAGCACATTTCTGTGTCTATAGCTGACCACCATTTTCTCTTTTTCTCAGCCCGTGAAGAGTCTCACTTTGTTTCCATTTCTCTCCCCCAGCCTCTGTCCTTCTCTTCGGTCCCTCTCTATTATCTTTCATTTTCTCCATCTATTTGTCTCCGTATCCCACACTGTGCTCATTTTTCTACCTTCCCTCCTCGCTGTAGCATTGTAGCACTAGCACTCCCTTTGCTCATCCACCATCTGCTGCTCTCCACTGATCTCTTTGCTATAAACAAGCTTCTTCAACTGAGGGACAGAAAAATTGCCAAGCTCATTGGAATCTGTGATGGGCGAGGAGATGGAGGCTGATAAATGAAAACTTCAAAGTTTTGAATTAAAAAAAAAAAATTGCCAGCTAGATGTAAAACAAGAAAATGATGTCTAAGGCTCCCATGGCTATTTTTTGTCTTTCAGAAGCCTTTTTGTAGGGAGTGTGTGGTGCAGAGGGAAGGAGGGAAGTTGGGAGGGCAAAGACCTTAAACAATAAATGGACAGTGCAGAGAGAACAAAAACTTCTGCTCAATATTGGAAGTTGCTACACACAAAAAAAACTTCAAATGGCATTTATTGATTTGCAATCTTTTGTTATCCCCTTGCTTCTTGTTTTAGGCAGAGGAGGGCCCAACAAGGACACGTAGCCCCTTCTGCTCTCCCCTTTTCACAACTACAAAGAGCCTTGGAAGAAGAAACAAATGCAGAAGCAGGGTGTCTGATCTTTTCTTCCACATACCAAATGCAGGCAGATAGCTTCAGTGGGCTTGAGCTTCAGTGTAAGAGCACAACTGTATTAAAACAAAAAGGCACTAAAGAAGTTTCTGCACGAGGAGGAGCCCAGCGTTGGAGGCACAAACGGGAGGGGATGATGGGCACGTGGCAGCCACCTCCGCAGTGAGCTGTCTGGAAGCACAGGGAGGGATGGGTGCTCTGGGAGGAAAAGAGCAGCACCTGCATGGGGAGCCCTCTCATGCACAGCCCCTCACTGGGACGGGGTGGCACTGAACCAGACAGAGCAGTCAGAGGACAGCCCGCGGATGGTTTGGGCAGCGGGGTCAGGATTCTGCCCCCTGGCTAACGCACCCTAGGCAAATACCTTATGTTATTTGGAACCAAGCAGCTCGCTTGCCAGCAGCTAGCAGTCCCTCTCCTCACCTAACAGAGTATGTTCATTGTTATCTCTACCAGAGAGCATTGTCCCAACCCTCTCCCTCCCCGCTTTGATAAACTGCGCAGTGACAACCATCAGCTTCCTGCCAAAGCTGGCTCCTGCACGGAAACGTCTGTGAATTTACTCCGCGTCTGAAGCTTTGTTTCTTTCCCCCCTGCCCTGCTTTGCCTTGGAGGTTAGAGTTAATACGACTCACCTAATCTGGCTGCCAAGGTGAATTAGTGAAAACATCTCCGCAGCTCTGTGCAAGATATCACAACCTGACATTTTTCTAACACGCCGTGATATATCTTTTCTCTCCCTCTGATGTGTACTATGACACCTCAATCTTATATAAATGCTCTTTGTTAGGAATGCTTAATGTGCTCTTGGGGCGGGGGGGGGACAGGGCTGCAAGCAAAGGGGTCCAACTTGCAAATGAGCCAAGTCTGGATTTTGTAGGAAAATGGTGATGCCAGGGCTGAAACAGATCTCTGGTGCAGGGGCAAGAACAGAGCTACCACTATTTCATCCAGAGACCGACGGGCTGTCACAGAGGCTTCCCCTGAAGCGTTATGCTCATATCTGAGCCCTGGGACAGGGCGATGAGGAGCTGAATGGGCCTATTGATATCTTCGGTTTCCCTTTAAAACAGATGCCTTCCCTTTCATCCAAAGGATGCTCATCCAAAGAACTACAGAGGGCGAAGCAGCAGCTCATCATCTGTTGGGAAGGGTGTGTGGCTGCTGAAAGCCCTTCTGCTGGACATGGGACATGGTTTAGACTCTTAAGTGGATGCGTGTTTATCAGGGAAGAGCTGAAAAATATCTTCCCTTAGGAAAGCGTGTACCTTTTAGGATACAGTGGAGCCCCACTGATGTAGTGCTCTGACAGACAGACTTAACAGCACCCCTAATGAGGGTGCCACTCCATTAGAGCTGGTAAGTCACCCTCAACCCTCTTTTCATTACTGTGACAGTCCTGTGACAAGGGCAAATTGCAGGAGAAGCAAGTCCCACTTGGAATGAGCCCTGTGTATAAACAAGGCAGAACTGCAGAGCAAATGATTTGCAAAGTGGAGGCAAATTATGTTTTAACCTTTTCCCTGTGAGCCTTTCCTCAGTGTCCGATTAACTTTCCAGTCAACTGGCTGACCTACCAACTGGGCGGGCTGCTGTAAAAGGAGGCGAGTGTTGACCGCCGGCTCAAATTGGAGGTGGCATTTTCAAAGAGAGTTATTAGCAGGTAACAGTACGTTGGAAGATGATCTGGGGATTAAAGGAGATCTCAATCAAAAATGAATCACGCTAGGGCGAAAACACAAACTCTGTGTTGGCTGTACAAAGAGCAGCCTGGCGCAGAAGTGATGCGATCCTTCGGCTGTGGTAGTTGCTCATCTGAAGTGCTGGGTTCGGCTTGGGGTGTTGCACTTCCAGGAAAACGTGAACTTGTCAGAGAGGTCTAAAAGGAAAGAGCAAGAATGATCAAGGGTCTACAAAGCCTCACCTACAAAGAGAGGTTGAAAGACCTGACACCATTCAGCCAAAGAAAAAAAAAAAAAAGAAGAAGAAAAAAAACACAGCAACAACTAAGGAAGGAACATAAGTGATTTAAAGTTGATAAAAGGCTATTGCAGAGAAGGAGGGAATGATTTGTTCTTTTTGTCTATAGTGGCTCAAGGAAAAAAAAAAAAAGCCTTAAATTGCAGCAAAGGAGACTCAGGTCAGACTGCAGGGAAAATGGCTCCAGCGGTAAGGGTGGTGAAGCGGGGGAACAGATGGTCTGGAGAGGCTGCAGAGTCTCTTTTGCTGGAGGGCAGGGCAAGACCATCTCCTTGAGAGGGCCCTTGGGTCTTGCTGAGATTAAGGAAGGGGTTTATCATGACTGTACAAGGACTGACCTAACGCTGCTCCTACAGGAGGTAAGATTCCCAAGTATATCCAGGAGTTACCCCAATAAAAAGCACCTGTGAAAACCCTGCCCTTCCTTTTTCTCCACGAGCTCTCCCCTGGCTCTCCATAGCATCAGCCCCAGGGCACGGCAGAGGGTTGAGAGCAGCGTCCCAGCTTTGCCAGTGGATTACCTTGTAGAATACACAGGTGCCACGGAGCAAGGCCCTTCAGCAGCCTCTTAGGGGGTGGGAAAGCCTGCATCAAAGCTGTTGTAAATTTTAGACGTAGCAATGAGATTTCCACTCACCTGAACAGCTGGTAGGAGTTGGAAAGGGGATTGCTGGTTAGTCCTGCTGAAAGAAAGGGGAAAGCTCGTCTTTGCATGAGTTTAATAGGTACACATGCTGAGTCTCCGTGACGGGGGATGGTTTTCCCCTAGAATGGTTCTGAAAATTGCCTGGGGAAAAAAAAAAAAAGGCAAAAATAATTGTGTGAAGGACAGTTCTGAGCAGATTGTGAAGTTGCTGAAGTCCCTATCTCTGGTGCAGAAGGCAAATGCATGCAGCTGGTGTGTGCAGCCAGCCTGACCTGGCTAATACACTGCAGCGGACGCGTGCCTGCCTGGTGAGGTTCATTTCTGGGGGCTCAATAGGAGAGGGGGCTTAGCTGCTGCTTTCACTCAGTGCTGCAGAGCCCAGGACGACAGCCCTGTCGTCCAGGCCCTGGTTGGACTCCCTCAAGCAAGTGCTGCTGTGAAGTGGGCAGGATTTCAGCAGTGCTCGGCACCCTTTGAGCGGAAATCGTCTTCCGGGCAGAGCTTCGCTGGAAAATCTGGCCGCTCTCTTAGGAGCCTGAAAGGGAGCCCTTGTGTGCTGGCCTTCTTTTATTTTTAGAAAAAAAAAAGAAAAATCTGGCTCTTACCCTTGGGGGATGCTTTCTCTACACAAACCCAGGCACGCAGCTGGGGCTGGGGGCTTTGCACTTGCAGCCCCCCACAGGGAGTGGGGGGTCTCCCATCACAGTGCTGCCACGGTAGTTCATAGTCTTTCCAGGAGGAGCCCTTTTCTGCTTTGCTTTCTGAAGGAATAGCATAGATAGACCAATCCTAATATTTCATGCTTCCCTGGCACCTTTCATCCAGCGACTCCAATGTGCTTTGCATGCGTTAACCTCAGCGCCCTTCCCTGACCGGGAGGTGATGGCAGAGAGGGGCGATTAGCTGCAGTTTACGGGGGGGGAAGGCAATGAGTGCCTCACCCAGGGTCAGGCAGTGAATTAAAAGCACGGCCACAGCCCTCCCCTGGTTCCTGCCCCAGCTGATGCTCAAGTCGCTGCTTCCAAACCTGCTGTAGCGAGGCAGCACGGCCTCAGTGCGTCCTCTCGCGTGGACGGTAGGGGGAGGATTCGTAATGATTATTGGTCTTCACAGATCAAATTGCACTTTGTTTCTCTCCGTTTGGATGTGTTTAACTGTAGCGTGAGCTGATCGATGACACTTCGGGGTGGCGGTTGCTCCGAGAGACAGAAAGACATTTTTCACAGCTTCGCGGTGCCCAAAGGGCTGCTGACAATACAGCAGCTCGTCTGAGAGCCAGCCACCCCTGACCCAGCACGTCGGCCACAGGCTGACTGACTTCTCGCGGTCACACCACCAAACTTCAGTCTGAGATGGTGAAGATTTTGCTTTTTGGTCTGGACAGCCTACAGGATGTGCAGCACTTTGCTACCACTTGGATGTTTCCTTCCCCAGTTTTCCAAACCAAGCTTTCAATAACTAAATAAAATGCAAATATCTTGCTGATACAGCTTCTGAAATAACCTCAAAATAGCTCCCTCAATAGCTGTTGTTTATTTGCAGAATCGCTGTGGTGATTGTTCCTCCATAGGAATTCAGCAGAAGACTTCCCCGATCTGTATGCCAGGCAGAGCCACCATCTGTATTTTTCTCTTCTGCAGGCAGAGAGTTTGAAGGTGAGGAAGAGTATCTGGAGATCCTGGGGATCACGCGAGAGCAGTCGGGCAAGTACGAGTGCAAAGCTGCCAACGAGGTTGCTTCAGCAGATGTCAAGCAAGTCCGGGTCACTGTGAACTGTGAGTACCTTACAAGGGGAACAGGTCCACGGGGAGAGCTTTCCCCACAGCCACGGGTGGCTTTAGGATAAACAGAGAAGCCTCTCCAGGTCTAAATTACAGGATCTGAAACGTGGGGCACTTACCAAAGGGTATAGTTTGTGCTTTAAGCTTGGAAATACATAAGAAGAGTGAGGGGAAAAGGGAGAAAGAAAGCAAGAAGCAGTGCACTGCCCCTCTCTCTCCCCTCAGTATGGCTGGCGATGCCTTGTTTTTACTCATTGATATTCGGGAGAACAGTAGCGTGAAGAGAAGCTTCAGCAAGGCAGCAAGGATAGATAAGGTTCAGCCGGCTCAGAGCAAGCGCGCCTGCCTGCACCCAGTCGGCTCGGCAGCGCTTACACGGGCATCACGCCCCAGGGGCTTGGGGGGCACACGTGGGAGAGGCACGAGTTAATGAGAGGGGCCAGAAACGTGACTTTTAAGCAGGCTTCAGGTCATTTGCACAAAGCCCTCCGTGCACTGATGCAGCACAGAGAAGGGTTCAGCCAAAGGCGTAGCCACAGGGCTGGCTGTGTGGCTGGCATCCACACCCCACACCTCGATGAATCCTCACTGGGTGTTGCTCTAGCGAGTGGACCACATCGGCCATGCCTGCACACACAAGATATTTCAGCCTGCCTTTAGTAGCACAATCCTACGTGTGTGTACATCCACCTCCCTATTCTTATGGCTCATGTTTGGCACTGGAGTGATTTAAGAGGAATATCCCCACCTGCCTGCGCTGTTCCCCTGCTTGGAGGTTAATACCTCCGCAGCAGGGATGGATAAATGGGACGTACAGCCTCTCTAGACCTGCTTCAATTTACTCAGACTATTAACTTAAACTGAAATTGGAGATGGTTACAGGCATGTTTCAGGGTGCGTATACGTGCCCTTGATTCATGGGTAAGCACTCCCTGGGAGTGGGTTCAGGCAGAGAGCTGACAGCAACAAGTGTCTCAGCTCATCTCAGCCTCGTTTGCCACTCCATGTGGTTTTAGCACCTCTTTATACCACTCTTGCTCTTCTTTTCTTTCTTTCCTTCTGAGCCATCACATCAGATCAACTCTTCTGTCTTGCTTTAGAAGTCAAGGTTATAGGCATTGCTTCCGGGCTCCCTGCAGTGTCTTCAGATTCCACACCATTATTTTTTTTTTTGAATTACCTTAGAAAATTGGGTGACAGTAGTTTAATAAAGGCTGCTTGGTGGGCCAAATTTTGCCATTAGTATGAAACTATAGTAGCAGATTTTCTGAACTAAAGCTTTTTTTTTTTTTTTCCTGTCTAAAGTATCTTTTTCTTTCAAAACCAGCCAAATTTATAAACCTGAGGCATTCCATGAGAACCAGTTAATGTTTTCAAATACTTCTGTGAAGCGTAATTTCAATGATGCCTTTAACATGGTTGAAACAGATTGTTTGTATAAAGTCAGTGTTTGATTTTGACTTTGTTTCAACTCATAGTAGCTATACTAGAGTAATATTTTAAACATTTTTACTGTCATAGCACATGAAAATAAAATAAAAATACAATATTGTAATATTATTACACGGCCTAATTTGTAATGTGCACAAATTATTATTTCCTTCAGGACAGATCTTTTGTTGCCAAGTAAAGGGAAAAACTCAGAGTTCATGAGGGCCCTGCAAAGGAAAAAAATAAATAAATCAGTCCTGTTTGGGAAATGAAAGCCAGATATTTGCATATGTCTTTCCTTATCTTGCTTCTTTAAATACACCACCAGCAGTAAAAATTATGAAAATCACAGTAGGTTTGAAAAATGGGACCTGCCCAACGTGAGGAGCTTCCTGGCCATCTCTTATCATCTCATCTCTCGCTGAGGCTGCAGAGCAGGCAGCTTGTCAGCCCCGACTGCAGGAGAAAGCACCATCTCTTTGCTTTGGTCTCACACTACCACCTTCAGGCTCCGTGAGTAATGGCTCTGGCACACTGCAGACAGGGAAACTGAGGCCTGGGGAAGAGCAGAGGGCAAACCCCAGTGAAAGGGGACCCACTCCTGGCTTCCCCAGCAGCATACAGCCAAACACGGAGCGGCTGTGTTTTCAAGGCTCACAGAAAGGTGCTGTTCATGGCATGACTCATCACATGCGCTGGATTTAGTGAGGTGGAAAAGGTTTTTCTTGCTGCAGACAGCAGGAAGATCTAGTGCTCAAACAAAAAAATCAAAGAAGGATGCTTAAAAAATCACCTTCGCTCTCCTTTATTACCCCTCCTCCTTTCCAAATTAAAATATTTACGTGAACCCACAGCCTTTGAATGTAGGATCCTATTTATGTACACTTATTAATATTTATGATGTTAGAGGGCGCGCTGCAATATCCCTAAAGCCCTGCATAAAATCCCAATTAAGGTCAGGAAAGGGATCACATTGAGATGGCTAATGTGTTCACAAGAAACTTCTCGCCATACATTTTCCAGACAGAACTATTTTTTTTTTTTCCTTTGACTGACACCATCCATTTTGATTCTTATTCTTGGCCTTTCCAGGGTGGATACAGACAGCAGAGCTGTATCCTGCAGAGGGAAGGTGCTTTATGGCAGCCTGAGTCTCAGCAGAGCTGAGCTGCAGCCCCAGACTCTCTGAGTATCCAGGCACCCGCGATGGCAGACAAGGCACTTCCTCCCTCTCAGCAGCCAGGTGGAAATAATTCTGCCTTTTAATTTGTAAAGCCTGTCACTTAACATTTCAAACACGGTGCTGAGAGGCACCTACCCTGCCCAGTACCTGGGCCCTGCTCCAGCAGAGCACACCGATGCTTCCCGAGTTTTGTTTGCCCGTGGCACAGCTCTCAGGCTGTGAAATGAACAGGGCTGGGAGCACCAGGCTGGGCTGAGGACAGGCTTCACTCAGAGCTAGCATGAACGACCTCCTTCGAGCCTGTGACAAAGCGTGGTGTCCAAAAGGGCTCGCACAGGCCTTGTGGCCTCGCACGCCTCGGGGAGGTGTCTCAGCGAGAGGTCTGGCTTTCAAAGTCGCACCCACAGCTCCTGCTAAAGCTCCTCCGTTTTGAGCTGTGAATGTCTTTCTGCCCTCAGCCCTTTCCTTTCTTATTATAGTGTTGATGTTAGACACGCAGGTTGTACAGAAAATAATGTCTGTGTCAGTGTTAAATTCCTACTTTCTTCCTTTCACTGCTGCTGCCTTCCTTTACCATTGCGAACATCTTTCTCTCATCTCCTTCCCTCTGATGAGCCCATGTGCACTAGAGAGCCACAGGTAAATATTCATAAATTACATAACTCCATCATTAACCTTAACTCTGCCTGTGTGTGCCCATGCATTTATGACAGAGGGCCAGTAAAGAGAAGCATGCATATGGAGTGGTGCTGGCATAATGTATTAGGGGGAGTTCAAAGAGCAGGTGTTCTCCAGGGAAGCAAGAGGTGGATGTGCCACAGCATGCAGCAGCTACAGGCCTCCGCCAGCTCAGATAGTTTGCCTAAGGAAGCCAGCCCTGAAGCAGTTTCACTGTTTCCTTCCATCTGAAAACATGACAAGTGACCCAGCGTTTCCTCCCCGCAGACCCTCCCACCATCACAGAGTCCAAGAGCAATGAAGCGGCCACGGGACGACAAGCCTTACTCCGGTGCGAGGCATCAGCAGTGCCCACGCCTGATTTTGAGTGGTACAGGGATGACACCAGGTAAGACAGTTAGCTCTCCTTTTCCTTTCTCTTCTTTTCAGTCCAACAGGGGATCCTGAGAGCTGTTATCATCCCCAGTTCTTCTCCTCAAGCAAGTTACTCTCCATGAGCCCTATACATTAAGATTGTTCCATCAGCTTATTCAGAGGCAGCGTGTTTGGGGCTGGAGGAGGCAATCCTTCTCTGTGCCAGGGGTGCTGAAAGAGGTGCTAAATACGGGGCTCTTCCCTTCAAGTCGGTAATGGGCCAATTTGCAATTAAGACATCCATAGTGCTTTCTGCAAATGTTCATGCATTAAATGTTCATCCATGATACAGAAAATAAAATAGGCAGCGCTGGTCCCCAGGTAAATAACACCACTCTGGCTGCCTTCATGTGGGGATGGTGCTGCTTGAAGTGTAAGGCTCCCCCCTCTCTGCAACCTGAGCCACCTGGGTTTGCGTGTGAGGGGAAAATGAGAAAAGGAATCTGTCTGTTCCTTATACCTGAGCATTTACTTTGCATTTAGAAGTGGTTTTATTATTGCAGTTTTTAACCTGACCCACATGTCCGGGCTCAGCAGTGGCTCGCTTTTGTTAAAGCATGCATTAGAATGCCTTAATCGGTGTGTTTCACTAAAAACCTTTTCTCCATCTATAGACTAGCCCTCAGCTGGCCATGGTGCGTTCATTTCCCAGTGTTAGCCAGTGCCAGATAAATGCTTCCTCCCTTACCCTCAGCTTTTCTTTCTTCTCCACTACTTTACCAGTGGCATTTCTCTCCACTGTGTTCCTCCTTCCTTTCATTCCCTCCTCCTGCTTTCCATCAGTGCCTCCTTTGTCCTCTTCCTTCTTACATCTCATCTCTGCCTCCCTCCATCCTCATCCTCCAGCTGGTCCAAATGACTTTGGTTTACCACCCACCCCCTGGGCTGTCATTTCCTCCCCATACACTACTGCCTTTGCACTGCACGCCTCTTCTCCTGTCTTCCCAGGATAAACAGCGCCAACGGTCTGGAGATAAAGAGCACGGGGAGCCAGTCTCTGCTGATGGTGGCCAACGTCACTGAGGAGCACTACGGGAACTACACCTGCGTGGCTGCCAACAAGCTGGGAGTCACAAACGCCAGCCTATACCTTTACAGTAAGTATGGGAGAGGGTGAAAGGGGGTCCAGGTTGCTCTCACAAAGACCAGGCTTGGTAGTAAGCACACAGGGACACAAAACTCAGGAATGATCTGCTTGCCAACGCCCCGGGACCTCCAGCTGGGAACTGACTACTTCAGACACATACGTGTTCATACTGACAGTGAAACAAGAACACAGCCAAATTAAAATGTTTACGGTCAAGCCCTTTGATCGACTTTCTTTGCTGAAGTCAGGTTTTGTTAAAGTAATAAAAACATGTTTGTTTTAAGGCTGGAACCAAAGACCCCGTTAGAATGACAGGCCTTTTAATAAGGAGAGGAAAGGCCGGGGCTCGGAGGGTCTGTGACAGCTGAGAAATGACAAGTAATTCAGAGAGATGGAGAGACTAGCCACTGAGCCTGAGGAGAACAAGAGAGTCAAAAAAAAAAAAAAAAAAAAAAAAGAGAGAGAGAGAAATGAGTTTGAAAATAGGAGGAAAATGGAAAGGAAAGAAGTGGGATAAGACAGAGTGATTTAAGGGGGCATACTGTAGGGAACATGGGGAAAAAGGTAATCAGCAGATGAAATATGGAACAAAATTCCTGGGATCTCATTCTGCTACCTTTCAATTACTGAGTTTACAGCAGTAAACATAAAAGGGTGGAAGCTGGGACTACACCAAACTCCAGAACAGAATTACCTGCTGAGTCTGAATTTTGCAGCTGGTTCAAAACTTGCCCTAAATAAAGACCCTGCTCCTTTTCTCCCACCCATGTACACGTACAAACTGAGGTTTATTCAAAATCCAGTTCTGGATCCTAGGCACAGCACTTGGACTCAGCTTACAATGCACGTTATTATTGCCACCAGAAATAGACTGCAGCAGAGTGACCCACTCACATGAATGCACCCAAAGACCAAGAAGTGACATAGGGTTATATTCCTCTGATGTTTCCACACTGAATTAAAACACTCAGGCCATGACCTGCATGACCTTTTAAACAGAAAAAAAAAAGAAAAAAAAAGGAAAAAAAAGAAAAAAAAGATAAACTATGCAAAGCTGTCTAAATATGAGAAGCAGTTTAGTCTAGTTTCTGCTGTGTGTGGTCAGATTACTGGAAGCACCAGGGAAAATAAAAAGGTTTTGGTTTGTTTTTTAACAGATGTAGTGGAAAAGGATAAAACCATTGGTGTTCTGTGTTTACCACCTCTGGATTTATTACAAGAGCAGTTTGAATTATTGCAAGATTTAGGAGTGTTCTACAGATTATTTTTTTTAACTAAAGAATCAGTATTATCATAAAATAACATATCTTTGATTTCCTGCAGCATTTGGTCACAGAAACAAAGCAAATTCCTACTTTGAAATTCTTTTCACCCTGGTCTTGTGACTGTCATGAGATTCAAATAAAATCCTCAGGCAGCAATTTGGAACACAGTTTTCAAATACTCCAGATTTGTTCTTGCTGATATTAATATAATGCTAAGTTTAGAATCAATTATTTGTGGCTGAATTCTAAATTTGGCCCTCTCTGTTGGTTCCTGTTATACAGATGAGCTGAAAAGCACCACTGAAACAAAATATAAGATGAAATTCAATAATGTATGGATGCACACGTGATTTTGGATGGGGGGTTGGTTTTGCTAGAAAAGCATTTTGCATTGAGCTTCACCTCAAAGGATCTCAAAGGATTTGCTAGCAATGAATATTTTAACATCGCAAGTTATTCAGAAATGGGTGAGTGTTATTAGCACCATTTTGCAAGAAGAACCTAAGAAATAAGAGTGAAGGAGCGGTTTACCCATGGTCATAAAATCAGTGGCAGAACCTGTAAGAGATCCAGGGAGATCTTGCAAAGTTGCAGATATCTATACCAAGGGGAAACATGGCAAATATTAAAGATGACTTGCAACAAGGGAATAAAGAGAGGATTCTATTTTAGCCTCCTTTTGATGTGTATGGAGGTAACTTTCCTTCTGTCGAGTTGTTGAATGTTGTTTATCATTTTTACCTTAGAAATTCAAGTCCTATTTATGCTGCAAAGCACTTGAGAGCTTGTGAAGTAGCAACTTCACAAGAGCCAGAAGAATGGAGGTGCAGGAGCTGAGAAAGATTTGATGATTTTCATCAGACTGTTTCTAACTTTTATTTTTGTTGCTTAGTTAATCCCATTTCTTCAGTGCTCAGTGTTATGGAGACTGAAAGCCATTGTGAAAATTGCTTAATATTGTTTCTCTGTTCTTGTAGTTAGTGTGGAAAAGAGAGAGAGATAAAAATAATAAATTCAGGCAGGCTACAGTTGGTATTCCTAAGGTTAAAAAACCAGGGAGGCGATGAGTGAAGGGAATCAAGCCTCATAAAGATAAAGAAGTGGCCCAAAAAACCTACAAGCCTGGCTGAAAAAAATACTGAACTGATCACACAATAGCTGAAATGCACATTCCCAGACAACACACTCATGCAGAAACAAAAAGAAAAAAAGCAGTGCCAAGTTTGGCAAGGTACAGCAGACACAGAAACGTTTTGAGTGCTTTTCTTCCCCAGAACCAGAGGTTTTATTTCTTTTTTTTTTTTTTTTAATAGAGAACAAACTCACTGTAGGGCAACATCCCACTAGGGAGGCAGACACAATGATGATTCCTCAGTGGCCCATTGCAGAGAGGAAAAAAAAAAAATGGCAGCCAGTAGTGAAGAAACAACTAGAGAGTTAGTAATGAGGTACTGGAAGCTTTGCCTGAGGTGGAAGGCAGGAGGGGAGCTAGCGAAATGATGTGAAAGAACAGTTTAGCAACAGAGAAAAATGGGTGACTTCCATTCCAGGAAATCTCAGCCTGTGTTGAGAAAGTCTTGGAGAGACCAAGTGCCTTAGATGTCGATTCCATAGCTAGAAGATGTATTAAAATACAAAAGCACCTCCCTTGAGCTATATGACTAGATAGCTAGCGAGCTTCTCTAAAGGATGCGGCAGCAGGATTGCCTGCTGTAGGTGGGGAGATTTATTCTCCTCGCTCCTGGAGGCTGAGTTTATAGCAACATCCAAATGGCCATGCTGGGTCCAACCAAAGGTCTGTCTTACCCAGGAACTTGTCTCCAACAGCAATCTGGAATATGTTTGCAGAGAGCGTACCCAGAGAGGTACTGTTTGATGATAGAGCTCCTCTCATAGCTTGCTGCCGTCCCTTCAGCCCCGCTCTTATTGCTCACCCTGCTCTCTGCTGCATGATTTTGGTGTTTCCTATGCTCTGGGACTCCGTGGACCACACACTGAGCCAGCACAACACGCTACACCCACAAAAACATATCTGAGGTTTACCACCCACCCCTCAAAACGCTGCCAAATGTTTTCTCTTGTTATGCAGAGCTGAATTAGTTCAACAAGCACCAAAGCCCATGCAAGGCGGGGGGGAACATATCACACGTCCATGGACAGGAGGAGCTGGGAGGCACAACAGAGCTTTGCAGCACTGCTGAGCCAGTAGGTTAGTTCAGCTCTGCAGAGCCTAGGAACAAGGTCTGTAACCCCCAAGCACAAAACACCGTGCGAGCTGTGAAAGGGGCAGAAAGGGGCATGCGGATCTCCATGAAAATTATCTGACAGGGAGGTCAAGTCAGGGCTGCCATCACAGCATGACAGAGGTGAAAAGCAGTGCTACAGCTAAAGGGAGAGGGGTTTTTTTTCCAAGTGAATTAGGAGGGAGGGAACTTGTTTCTTTGTCATTCCACTAAGCCAACAGAGTGCTATGAAAAAAAAAAAAAAAAGCCACAATTTATATCCTAACCCATGCAGTATAAAAATATATGTGTATATATATATCTATTAAGTGTATATATGCCAGAATCGCATCTGTTATACAAGTATATGCATACATAGGCTTACATGTGTGGGTATAATAAGCAAGCAAACATATCCACAGGCACACAGAAGCAGGCGCAGCACCTGGTGCAATCTAGCAAGGCAGAGAAAAGCAATGAAAGCCCTTCCAAATCAGTTGCCTTCTGCCTCCCGCAGAGCCAGCCCATCCCTGAGGATAAAACAGGAGACAACAGGGCAGTGCTGCACCTCCTTATGCAGTCCTGCTGGCTAAATTGTCTCAATTATGGGAGACTGCCACCTCAGCAGGAGCCCTGCCGCATCCTCTCCAGCTTGCATCCTCGGCGCCCTCCAGTGAGTTAGGGAAAGCAGAGGTGAGGCAGCACCTGGTAAGGCCAGTGCCAATTAGACGCAAGCAGCAGGCAGGATCCCACCACGGTCTCCTCGAGATGCTTCAGGTATAGCTACCATTTTAGTCCAGCAGTTTTAATCCCAGCCACTTGCCTCTAAATTGTCATTTCTTGCTGGTGCCCCGGCACAAGCGCTGGCTGTGTGCGCCCTGCTCCACCCCTTCTCGTGATGCTCTGCCCGTGGTGCTTCCTTGTGCCTGAGCATCTGCTGATGGTGGTGGCTGCTAGGGTTTGGAGTGCAACTGCGAGTGAAATCTGAGGCTCTCAGAGCAAACCCCGTGATTTCCCAGGGGCTGTCAATAACAGGGAGACTCGGGAGAGGGAAGATAGTGGTTAGGGTGACAGCCAGATGGGGCAAGCCTGAGACGCTGCTAATGAGGCAGGGTGGAGCAATAAAGGCAGCACGCAGCAGGCGAGGGGAACAGAGGTAGAGTCCTTGAATAGAAAGCAGCGTGATAATGAGGCCGTAGTGCTTTGCTTTAACTGCTTATGCTGTGCAGTCTGCAGCCTGCTGTGCGGGAAGAAGGTAAAGGGGAGTTGAGTTATTTAACCAAACTAAATAACAAGGAAGTCATGTCAGCACAACAGCCTGCTTTCACAGAACAATAGTCCCCTGGTGCTGCATAAACACAGAGATCCAGACTAACCGTGTATTTTCTACACAAGAGGCAATCTCCCCTGTGCCTGCTGTGGATTCAAACAGCCCCGCTACCACTGTGAGGGCAGGAGATCTGCCAGTGTCACAGAGATTGGATCGACCTGCTGTGTCCCCGTGGGCTCCAGGTAGTCAGAAGCTAGCTCCTTGCACCAGGAGTGCTTTTTAAAGAGCGTTGCCCTCCGAATAGCTGGGACCAGAGTGTGATCAGAGAATAATAGCGGGCTGTCGGTGTATCCTGCCAAGCCGTATGCCCGTCAGCAGTGATCTTAGCACCATCCTCACAGGTAAGCCCGGAGACAACTCATTGCCCCAGGCCTATCAGCTTTTGCATAGTGACATATCTCTACAGCTGAACGTCTGCCCAGCAGACAGCCCCTGAGTAGGAACACATCTCAGGCAGCACGAGGCGTTCAGCGAGCTCTGCGGTTAATGGAGAGAGACCCGGTCATTACTCAGGTCTGGTGGGCTTGTGTTCATGGTTCTGCCTGGCTCTGCCAACAGTTCAGTGTGTGACCTTGGGCAAATTGCTTCCTGGTGCTGTGCCTCACCTGCGCTATCTGCAAAGTGGGATTGCCACTGCTGTTAGCCTCAGACTGAGGTCTCCGAGCCCCAGTTTCCTTCAGTTTCTGTGCAGTTCTTTTGAGATCCTGGCATGGAAGAAGCAATATGTGAAGCCAGCAGCGATGTATACCAGAGGCCTGCTGTGGCGTAGAAAAAGGATGCGTTGTAAAAACCCTATAACCAAAACAGCAGGCTCTGTGTGCTACCGGAGGCTGATGAATCTGCAAAAGCTCTGTTCCTGTAGGAAGGCAAAGGTGCAAAAGAAACAGAGTGCCCTTGAGGATTCACCAGGGTGACAACTCCCATGCTCTGATCCTCAGGGGACCTCTCTCGGGCAAGAAATCCATTGTGGAGAAGGTTCTTTGGGGGCAGTAACTACCTGTGGAGGACCTCCACAACTCACCTTTCTGGCAGAGGCTAGCTTCCAGCCAGAGGTGCAGCTAAGAGGAGCTGTAGTGTGATGAGATGAGCGGTCTTGAAAGCCAGGGGGGAGATGTGGCCCATCAACTCCAATTAGCTTCTCTGCAGGTGCTTAATCCCTCTTGTTGTGTGGATATTATTTGTTTAGTTTTTCAAATGACTTCTGTCTGACTCCAAGTCCCAGGGAATGTTGATGTATAATAGGTGTGTTGCTAGCAAAATGCTCTGTATGAAACTTACTCTAGCTCATCTAATTTGGGGATGGACAACTCCATCAGGTTTGTATCTGCTGCTTTTGCTTGCTGTGAAAAGTGGCTTTTCTCCTGCATGTTGCTTATTGTTTTTTTTCCCCCCTTAGAACGAGTTTTACCCACACTCCCCAACCCTTTTCCAGGTCAGTATATGCTTTATGTCAAAGTAGCTCTAGCCGGGTCATTCTCCATCATCCTGATAAATGCCAAGAGCAAGGGATGGGCAAAACAGTGCAGGACAACAAGGGCCTTCCCATCTCTTCTACGTGCCATTTGTTCTCTTCTGCTCACCTTCCTCATCCTTCCCTTCCCCCCTCCCATTTCAGGAAACCAATCAGCTAAAAAGCAACAACCTTTAACCCAGGTTTGATTGATGACATCGTGTCCTCATCCAGGTCTGGACAGTCTTCAGTGGGGCTCAGTTTGTGTACGGACCTACTCCTTACGTATATTCCAGTCCTATGCTTTCTTCCCCCACATACCCTGGTTTGGATCAAAAGCATAAACAGATCTAAAATGTTGCAGGGATGGTGGAGGGGACAAGTGAGAAGCTAAAAATTAAAGTGCTGCCTGGAGATTTTTTTACTTTAGCTGTGCAAGCTATTCACAGTGAAACACATTGTTTTCTCATTCCTCTGGCACATACCCCCAAATCTGTCTGTCCTGTAGTGCTGCATTTCATAGAATCATAAAATCATTAGAGTTGGAAAAGCCCAACCATTCCCCTGCCACCAATGTCACCCACTAAACCATGTCCCCAAGCACCAGGTCCAACCTTTCCTTGAACACCCCCAGGGATGGTGACACCACCACCTCCCTGGGCAACCCGTTCCAGTGCCTGACTGCTCTTTCTGAGAAGAAATGTCTCCTCATTTCCAACCTGAGGCAGACTGCATGAAAAAAAAGGCTCAGGGTAAACACATAAACCACAGTGAGGTGTTACGGACTGGTTTATTGCAAAGGGAAGGGGTATGAAGGGAAAACAGAGCCTGAGTATTTTTCCTGTTCTTGCCACATGCTGCTAAAGCACGCCTTAGGTCCAGGCAGTGTGGCCCAGATGTGCACATGAGGTTTGGTGTTTGGATGCAATCTTGATATTGTGGAAAAGCACAGAGACTCAGCACTTCCTGAAACTGGGCTGTTTCCAGGGGTTTGAAGCTAAATCAGCAATAAGGCAGCCAGTCCCCTCACTTAAAACACTTTGGCGTAGGGCTCCTCAGTATATTTGCTTCGCTGCCATATGATGGAGATATACTCAACGCATGGGATGCTCTGAGGCCTCAATAGTTAACGTCTGTGTAGAGCTTGGAGGTAGAGTGTTATTATGAACCCATGTTGTTTTGCACAAGGGCACCTGCCCAAGTAAAGCACCTGCAGGTACTCCCATGAAAAGAACAATAAATGCTGGGTGTTACATCAGCTCCGTTTAACTACTCTGCGTTTTCAAATCAAGCTCTGCTCTTGGCAACTTATTCAGGCTCAGGATGTAGTCACAATTGCCTATTTAAAAGGCAAATCCGCAAACACAATTAAAGAAAAGTACCTAAAAAAGGAGGGGAAAAAAAAAAAAAAGAAATCAAGCTACCATTAAAATTAAATCCCAGAGAGTGATTTGTAAATAACATTCAAGGAGCTGAAGAAAGGAGTAAAGTAGGCCGTTGGGAACCTAGTGTGGCAAAATAAATCCAATTAAACACCATTATCGTATGTATTGCAAATGAAACGTGTGCTTGGATATGAAATTAAAGTTGCTGAGGCTGTTTGGGATGTAAGGTTTGGAGGAGTTTTCCAATTTTGCTTGTTCTTTTTTTAAGCAGAACTTTCAATGACAAATATTTTTGTCTGATGGAAAACCCAGGGCTCTTTCTTTTTATGATTATTTTTATTATATATCCTTAAATTCCACAAGCAGGCACTGTTAATTCTTTCCAGAGCCAGCCCTGTTTACAGCTGGCTTTGAATTAGTAGTCCATTAAGGTAAATGATAAAGCAAAAACTGCAAGTGAGCAAGGCCCAGATTTCCATACCAAATGCCCCTCCTAATCAGGCTGCCAAGGCCATCCTGCAAAGCTTTTGTCGATCCTTTAAAACACTTTTCCTCCTTGCCTTTGAAGTTCTTACTATTTTCCTTTTGCTGCTCCCTGTTCTCCTGAGATCATCTTGAAGGACATCCTGGTGTGACATCACTTCTGTGAGGAGGCTTCAGGAGTTTGCGATGCCAAACGCTGGGATATCTCCTGTGACCCAGGACACTCTAAGAGGATTTCGCAGAGGGGGAAAGTAGAATTTAAATACTCCGGACCTCATTTGGTTTCTGAAAGCCCCTACCAGCTTCTTTAATGTGGGCCTTCAGCACAGATACGGGTTTATCTCAACATTTGCTTTTACTTTGCTGTTCACTTTCAAAGGAACCTTAGGCATAAAAGCTTCTTGTTTGACCTTTTTCTCCCTGGGGGTTTATATTCTGAGATGCAGTCCTCAGCTCTCAAACAAGCTCTTCCTCAGTGACCACAATCGCAGCCTCTTCTCCCTCAATTTCCATTTCTCTTAAGCCTTGGTAACACTTCCCTGCCCTGTAGGGCTTTGAGCATTAATTTTAAAAGGAAGGTGTTTTGAGATGAAGAACACTGTGCTCATGCTAAGCATTGCTATCATCAGCTAGCTGCTGTGAAAACATCTTGTTTTCAGGCAGGCTAGGGACTCGGAAGAAGCCCATTCAGCTGAACACATGGGACTTGAATTTGATGAGGCTGTATCCTAGGAGGCTGGTGGAGCCCAGCTGATTCAGCTCTCTGCTGATTTGTCCCCGGTAAATGTTCCAGCTCTCCTGATTTTCCAGCAGGGCACTTGCCCTGAAAAGTCTTCCAGGATGGTAACACCTCATCACGTTTTCCTGTCCACATGATAACATCACACTGTAATGGGACGTCGGAACACCTAGCTGGCCTTAATCCATCATCAAGTGATTTTCTAAGGGGTTTTCTTCTGGAAAGAGAATTTGCTCAGTTCCCACCACACCTGCCAACATCATGGCAAGTGGGATCTCTGTTGTACCTCGAAAGCATCTGTCACTAGTATGCCACTGGTTCCATCTCTGTCCTCCTCCTTTGTCCCTTGCCCTCAGCCCTTTGCACATAGACTCACTCCTCTCTGCTTAGCCCTTAGTGTCCACATCAGAATGGCTTACACAGGCTTCAAAACCTATAAGTCTTCCTCTCGTGAGTTTTGCGGTGAGGTCCTACCACAGATTAACCAGGCACTTCCTCAGCATGGTTAGCTCGAACCCCAGGAGCTCCACAGGCGATGCCTTATTGCCCGGAGGGTGACACAGTCCAGTCATGGTCATCAACAGAACAGATTTACAGTGATAGTGTGTAAATAACTGGCGGAGGGGAAGGGAAAGGGAGAATGAGCAGTCCTGTGTTTCTGCCAAAACGCGCACTGATGGGAGAATGACCCTGTCCGACTGTAGCTCGTAGCTAGTCTCCATTTAGCTGTAGCCCGTGTAGCTTGTGCTGTCACTAATGCCTTCATCGGGTGGGTGGGAGCTGGGGGAAGGGAGAAAAGAGATGTTCATTTGTGTCTGATGACCAGAGCGGGAAACAGAGAGCACCTTTCTTCGGAATAACCTCTCAGTTCTCCTCCCTCCCCGTGGAGGTCCTAGCTACGGAGGAATTCATAGTTCTCCATCTATCACCCCCACCCATGGCCGCACCCCCGTCACCTCCTCCATTGCCCCAAGCTAAGCAGGCAGCTCTCCTGTGAGCTGGGTCTCCTTGTTTTGGCAAAATCCGAATATGTTGAAGCTAAGGTGAGAAGTATGGGGGGGGGGATACATCAGAAAGTGCAGAGGGTAAAGGGTTAACACATGATTTGCAGGGGGTTGCTGCTTAGGCAGTGATATGGGAACAGTCCACAGAAACCAGTCCTCCCAGTATGATGTGACTGGTTAAAGAACTCATCCATCTCTCAAGTCTTCTTCACTGAGGCCAGAACTTGCTTCCTCAGATGGTTTCCAAGAAATAGTCAGTGAAAATCTGTCTTCAGAGCCTTTGAACCATATTTGTTGGTAGGGCTGGGGAAAACATAGCATAAACAGGCCAAAACAGCCAATCTTGTCCTATCATGATCCTAACAAACCTGCAGACAAAAATACTGGTTGTAGGGACCAAGCTTAGGAGGGCATCAGCACCTGATAACACCCGTGACCCTGGAGATCGAGCACAACTCAAGGTTCACCTTGCTCCCTGCCGGTGGTATCCAGCCAGATTTTCCCAAAAGCTCATTCTCCGTTGCAGAAGGGGATGGCTCTGCAGGGTGGATCAGGCAGGCCAAGTTTCTTTCAGCGCTCAAGGTCAGTGTTCTTCCCTGCCAGGTCAGTAGGCTGCAAGTGCAGTGGGTGCCAAGCCTGCTGGGGCTTCAGGCCAAGGGAACAGAAAGAACAAGACAGGGCAAAGGCAGAAGGCCAGCATCATATTGATTTTTTTTTCTTGATATTTCAGAGGTACCAGGCAAGCAGTGTCATTACATCTTATTTTGACCATGTGGTTAAAAGGGACTAAAAGTCAGAGGTGATGATAGTGTGCTCCAAAATGGCTCATAAGTATGGAGTGGGAAACAATATCTGAGGGGAAAGAGAAATGCCAAGAATTATTCCTGCTACTACAGCTACTAGCATTACGTGGTGAGCTTTCTGGATAGCAACAGACAGGTTCTGTTTGCTGAGATTGATTAAGAAATTAGAAAACATTCTAATTCTTTCCCAAAAAGTGTAAAGAAAAGAAACCAGCTTTTTTTTTTTTAAGAAAAAAAAAAAAAGACACAAGGGAGAGAGAGAGAAATGGCTTTATTGCTTGATCTGTTTCTGTACTTTTTGTTCATTAATTTTAATTTAGATTGATTTATTCCAGAATGAGCCCTGGATTGCATATATTTGCATAACCCTTTCCGGTAGTAATGCTGTGGAGAATCCAGCGAGGGAGGAAGAGCAGAAGCAGAGGGTAGGAACTGAGACTGCAAGTCCCAGGAAGATATTCCTCAGGGCTGGGTCCTGGCACTGGGGTAGCGAAGGCGTTTCAAGGTTTGGTTAGTCACAAGTGCAGCTTTGCACGCCAAACAGCCCTGCCAAACGGAGGTCAGGGCT